AGGATGGGAGAGAGGAAAGAGGGAAAAGAGGAGAGATGAGGAAAGAATAAAGAAGGAGGAGGGAGAGAAGGAAGTAAAGATGTAGGAAGACAGAGGAGAGAGATGAAGGAAGAGGAAGGAGGCAGGATGGAAGAGAGAGGAGAGGAAGAAACAAAAGAAATGAGGGAATAGAAAGGGGAGAAGGGAGGAGGGAAGAGAGGAGGGAAGGGGAGGAGGGAAGAGTGAGGACAGAACAGAAAGTAGGAAAGGGAGAGGAAGGAGGAAAGAGGGAAGGCAAAGGGAAGAGGTCAGCCCCTGGAGCTCCAGGACCCCTGCGCAGCCTGCTCACCCGACTCTTGTGCCTTCTGGCCACGTAACCTTTGTAATCGATATTTCCCCGCTTCTCCTGAAGGTAGAACTGGACCCAGTTATGGAAACCCAGGATGTCCTGTCCTCGCCGGGTTTCACCCACAAACACGTGCTCAAAACCACAAGAATCAGGCCTATAGAATCAACAGACAACGGGTAAGGCTCCTGGGTGACAGCCAGAAGAGAGGGCTCCCCAGCCTGTACCTTGTGACTTTAAAGAGCTAGGTGGTGCAGTGGATAGTAGAATTAGGAAGACCAAAGTTTAAATCTGACCTCAGACACGTACTAGCTAGTAAGTCACTTCACCGTTCCCTGCCTCAATTCTTCATTTGTAAAATGGGGATAATAACAGCACGTATTTTGCAGGGTTGTTGTGGGGATCAAATGAGATAATATTTGTAAAGTGCTTAGCACACTGCCTGACACATAGTAGGTATATAATAAATGCTTGTATACTTCCTTCCTCCCTGGTGAGACTCCACATCATACTTGGGTGGCAGTGATCTCCCCTATCCCTTCTCCATCCCCATTGTGTTAGGGGCAGCACCTAAGGTGTGGTGACTTAGAGGGAGAAGGGACTGGGGCTCAAACCTCACCTCCAGTACTTATTAGCTGTATGTCCCAGGGTGGGGATGTCACACAGCTCTGACCCTGTTTCCCCATCTGTAAAATCCACGCAGTTACCCACTTCCCAGGGTGATTCTGAGAAAAGCAGTAGGGAAGGTTCAAGCACCATGGAAATGTTTGTCGTGGGTATTTCTATCATCACTATCCCTTTGATGACCTTTGATCAGGGAGGGAGTCACTTTTGGGGCTGGCCTTGTCAGGAACCAGGTCCCAGGATGCAGGGTCTCAGCCCAGAGCCCTTGGCTGGAAAGGTGACCCATTGTTCTCCTGCCATCACGCCTGCTCCTTCTCTCTACCCAGATCATAGAATATTAGAGCTGGAATGGACCACATAGGCCAGCTAATCCAGCTCCCTTCATTTTACAGGTGAGGAAACTGAGGCAGGCAGCGGTTAAGTGCATTGCCCAGGGTCACACAGCTAGTAAGTGTCTGAGGCAGGATTTGAACTCAGCTCTTCCTGACTCCTTGCCCGGTGTTCTATTCACTACTTGGCACTGAGCTAACCAGAAGTCAGCAGATCCTGGTTGGAATGGACTTCAGTGGCCATCTTGGCAAACCCCCTCACCTGACAGATAAGGAAACTGAGGAAGAGAGAAGAGAAGGGACAGCTTTCCCAAAGGAGCAGCAGAGTTAGGACTCCAGATCTCTCCTGACCCCTTTGGAGTCACCCAGTTCCAGATATTGGGGTCCTTGCTGTGATCCCCTGACTTCAGATTGGGCTACATACCCCTGGCGGCCCTCCCGAGTGTACAGCTGGAACCAGATTCTGTAGAGCTGAGCCCTGAAATCCACCAGGCTGGGCTTGGACCAATTTTTTCCCACCAGATACTGATGGGCGAGCTGGAAGAGAGAACCGGGGTAGCAGTGGGGGGTGCATTACTCATTCCACAGTCACTGAGTACCAGACGTGGAAGCCCTTAGAAGCAGCTGGGCAAAGCAGAGAGAGAACAGAGGACCTCACTTGGGGATCTTGGCTCTGACATTTAGCGCCTGTGATTTCCAACAAAGTGCTCTGAGCCTCAGTTCCCTCATCCATAAAATGGGAATAATATTACTTTCAGCACCAACCTCACAGGGCTGTTGTGAGGACAGTGCTTGGTAAGCCCTTCAGTATTTTAGAAATGGGAGCTATTATCATTTTGAAGCACAAAGAGGTGGTCGAGATGTACCATCTTCCCCCTAACTCCCAGTCAGCCTTAAAGCTGCCTCATGCCCAAGGCCTCTGCTCTGGAGGCATTCCCCAGGATCGGTCACAGGGTAATAGCATGTCCCAGCTGGAAGTAACCAGTGACTTCCTCTTCTAAAACAGGAGGAAACCCCTGGCCCAGACTTACGGTCGGGGTGACCTTGAGCAAGTCACATCTGGAGGATGAGGGGATCAGAACCTCTGGTCTCTCTGGTCCCTACTGGATCTGAGAAATTCTAAATTCCTCAAAGGCAGGTGAAGACGTGGCCTCATCTCGACTTCCCAAGTCCCTCAGTGCCCAACAATAACAATGCCAAGATATTGAGGCCGAGGTGAGTTAGGAGACGTGCCCAGGGATCACACAGCTAGGAAATATCTAAGGCAGGATTTGAATTAGTGTCTTCTTGATTCAAGTCCAGTATTTGATCTTCTGTATAACCTAGATGCCTCAACTCTGAACTGTGCACACAGTAGGTGCTTAATACAAGTTTACTGAATATTTGAACAAATGAATGTTTGTTAAATCAAAGGGAAGAACTGAGTGAGAGTGGGGGCAGGAAGAGATAGGGATAGGCCTCTGCTGCCCAGGACAGGCCCTGGCCTCACCTTCATCACCTCTGTCTCTAAGACAGCATCCAAGAATCGGTTATTTTCTGCTTCCTCCTCCGGGGTCACGACTTCTGCTACTCCTGTTGACGTCTCATAGTTATCCAAAAGGGAGATAAAAGCTGCCGAAAGAAACCCAGAGACCACCTTACTGGGGAAAGAGGGCAAGGCAGGAGCCCCTACATGAGCAATGGGAAAAAATCCCAGGATCTAGTTTTGGCCCCGAGCTAGGCTGCTGTGTGACCTTGGACAGATCTCCCTATCTGACCCTTAGATTCCTCGTCTGCGAACCGAGGACAAAAATGCCTCCCAAGAGTATTGTGAGGAGAAAATGAAAGGACATTTGAAAGAAAAACTAAAAGCATCTGACCAGTTACTTAAGCTTGAGCCAAGGCTTGAACCATTTTCCCAGCTAGAAAAGGAGGACCACGATTCCTTTAGTCATGGGGCAAAATGAGACAACAGATGGAAAGCATTTCAAAAACATAAAGCTTCTACATGCTATGGGCCAGCAAGCTGGTGGGTGGGAATCCTCTTCAAGTCTGGTCATAATTTAGGATAAGCCAGTTGGCCCAGGTTAGATAGGTTAAGCAGCATCGGAGGTAGCAGATAGATATAGAATACATATACAATGAGGGTACTCCGAAGGGTGCTCTTGAAAACCCTGTCAGTGAAGTGTAAGCCCTGACAGGGCCTGCCAATGACGGAGACTGCAGCCACAGGCCTGGTGATGTGTCCAGTACCCGAGGATCAGGCTAGCCAAGCTGGAAGTGCAGACCACCAGGTGGGGGGTGACTCTTACCTGCAAAGGTCTTGGTGCTCCGTAACCGACTCTCATTCACCCAGAGGAAGAGAGCCTGAGAAGCATGGTCGACGGTTCTGTGGACACCTTGGGGGACAAAGTCTGCCTTCCCCTAGGAGAGAAGGAGGGAAACAGAGAAGGGACAATAAGTGATCCCTGGGTCAGTCTAGGAACTCCTGGAGTTGGCCCACCACAGGACCCTCTCTATAGCAGAAAGCACTGGATGGTTTCACAGAGGGGTGGGGGAGATGCTCCCCCTCTGCCTGAATATACCACCATTACCGCCCCCCTCCACCTTCCTGTTCCCCTTCCATTAGGTCCATTCTGGGTGTCAACAGGGTCATTTTCATTCTCCATCTCATTGTCTTTTTTCCTTTGAACTCCTGGCCAAACTAGAGTTCCATGTTTCCCTCCAAAGCTGGAGCTCCTTTTTACCCATGCCCAGATGCACGGAGCCAGGAACTTCCAGGCTCTTCCTTTTCATCCATCATCTCTCCTCCTTTGAAGTTCAGGCCATCTGATTACATTGTCCTCTCCCTGTCCTGGTCTACTGTACTCCTACACACCTTCCTACCTTCTTCAACAGGCATTTCTCTTCCCTACAAACATGAGGAGGTAAGAAGAGATTTCCTTGGGTGTCCTTTCCATTTCTAAGTAGTCTCTGATCCTATGACCTGAAGGTTGGAGAGACCTGTCTTCTTCAGGAGAATAATAATTACGGGCATGGAGCTCTGGTAGATAGTTTAGAGGACACTGATGGCACCTTCCAGAAGCAGTTCCCCCACCCATTCTTTCCAACTACACTGTGGGTATTTGTGGAAGGATGTGTACTAGTTTATGGAAGGAAGGGTGTGTTACTTTCGTTCATTTCAGTAAATGCCTTTGCTTTGAGTTAATTGTGTCAGTTGGTTGACTATTGAAAATGAATGAAGGGGTGGGGGCTCGGTCTCTAGTTTGAAGTGTCCTGACCTACAGAACCCACAGACCCTGCAGTAGTTGTCCCCAGAGGGGATGCTCACTGTGCTTGGCCTCATCCACCCACATGTCTTTACTCCCCTGTACAGGTCAAGCTGTGCATTTCCTCCTTCCTCCCTCTAACTGGCCTCATCTACCACCATAGTCTTCCTCATGCCCAGGTCCAGCCCTCACAAGTTCTTTCCCTTAGTCCAAGGAACCACCTGGAAAGCATCCCAAATTGTACTTCCTTCCCCCAGACCCCCAAATGAGCCCCTCCTTCCATCCCACTACCACTATTCGTCTGGAAAATTGTTTCTCATTAAAGCTTTACCACAACCAAACATGACTCAATTCAACAAGCATTTATTAAGCACCTATTATATGCCAGGCACTATGCTAAGCACTTTGCAAATATTGTCTCATTTGATCCTCATGACAACCCTGCAAAGTGGGTGCTCTTATTTTCCTATTTTGCAGTTAAGGAAACTGAGGCAGAGAGCGGTGAGGTAAAGCTAAGAGTCCCACAGCTGATAGTGTCTGAGGCTGGGTTTGAACTCAGGTCTTCCTAACTCCAGATCCAGTACTCTAACCACTGTGCCGGGGAGATAAAAAAGGAAAGGGTCCCAGTCTTAAGAGGTGATAATATACAGTGTACATAGGTCAGTGAGATACAAGGCAAGAGCTGGTGTGGACGGTCTCAAGGTCTCTCCCCACCTTTGTAACGGGGCTCACAGCTCTCCCCTCTGTCTGCTCTTTGTCCTCAGCCCTCAAGACCTCCACATTCACGCCAAGCAAACAGGCCCCTCTGCCTCAGTGCCCTAGGAGCTAGGCCACCGCCATGACCTTGACCGCTGGCATTCCTTGCAGCCCCCCCCACTCACCCCCACCCTGGCTCCAGTGAAACCCATTCTCTGCCCTCCTCGGGCCTCCCGTCCCTCCGGATTTGGTATTCACAGCCGAGCCAGGCCGGGCCAGCAGTCACCTGGTCCCCCCACCCCCCGTCCTGTCAAGGTGAGAAAACATGCTTTAACAGAAGGGTGGCCCGGTCAAAGGGGAACCGAGCCCTTTCCACCATCCTCCCTCCTGCCCGTTAGGAGGACACAGCCTTCCAAGCACCAGAGTCCTCAGATAAGCGATTATCAGTCAGCCGCGATGGGCTCCTCTTCAAGCATCCGCTGGCTGGGCCCGCCACCAACCGCTGGAAGCACTCACCTGCAGGGAGATGGTGTAGTCTCTGCCGGGCCCAAAGCGGTTAACGTCAGCATCCCACAGTTGGTTAAAAAGTTTGGAGAGTTCGTGATTTAAAACCAGCCTGCAGGAAACACAGAAGCAGACCTTTTCGGATCAAGCACTCAAGGCGTTGGGCAGGGAGGGTGTCTACTGGCTTAGAAGGGTGGGATTGGAGTCAGAGGAGCAGAGTTCGAATCTCGGCTCTGCCACTTACAATGTCCCAGGAGTAATCACTGAGCAGCCTCTCTGGGACCCATCTGTAGAATGAGGTCGGACCGGACAGACAGCTGTGGAGGCAGGGAAGGTCCGCCTCTACCTAATGCCAGAATCTCAGTGCACATTCCTGTGGCTTCCATAGCTCTGTCCCCCCAAGGAGGGTACTAACAAGTCACGTCCTATCTCTGGGCCTCTGCTTCTGCTTGGTAAAATAAGACTTACATTAGCTTCTTTCTGATATCCCTGAAGCCTGAGTTTTTATTTTATAGCAAATAATTATGACATCTATTCGTAATAAAGTAATACTATCTCCCTGTGTTTTGACTACTAGTAGCACAGTGGATAGAGAGCTAGACCTGGAGTCAGGAAGGCCTGAGTTCAAATCCGGCTTCAGACACTAACTGTGTGACCCTGGGCAAGTCACTTTAATCTCTGTCTGCCTCAGTTTCCTCCCCTGTAAAATGGGGATAACAATAGCACCTGCCTCTCAGGGTTATTGTGAGGATCAAATGGGATAATTTGTGCCTGGCACATAGTAGGTGCTCTATAAATACATACTTCCTTCCCTTCCACTGTGTTTAAATAGGGTCACTGACTTCCTGAATGCTTCAGGCTTTCTACTAGGAGGTGGAGGAGGGGGAGTTCACAAAGATCCTTCCCACTTTCCTTGAGAGGAAATGTAGCACAGAAAGGGCAGGTAACTTGACCAAGGTCACACAGTAGAACCAGGACTGGACCTGGAGCTCGGGAACAAAAGAGGGGGTGGGGGTTAAAGCAAGAGGATCCCCAGCCCTTTGCCTTCCGGCTTCCAAGTTCATGAGACTCAGAGCTGGGAGGGACCTTAGCCTTCAACTACTGCAGCCTCTTCCTTTTACAAAGGAGAAAACTGAGGCCCAGGGATGGAGTGACCTTTGAGGTCCTCTAGGCCAACCCCCATACTGTTACAAAGGAGGAAATTGAGGCCTGGGGAGAGAAACTGAACTGTCTGAAAGATGGGAGGGTGGTAGTGAGTTCTCTATCACTCAGGTCTTCCAGCAGAGTCAGGGATAGAACAGAGGGCATTCGAATTTGGGCCCAGACTGAATTAAATGACCTCCTCCAGTCTAGCTCAGAGATTCTTAGACCAGTCAGAAGTGAGAGGAGGCCTTGGGCCAGGCCATGGCGGTCTCTTCACCTGGAGATAAGATGCTAGCGTACTGTTCATTTGTGTCCGACCCTTCGTGACCCCGTGGAGCCCAGCACGCAGGGTCGTCTGTCCTCTGCTGGCTCAGACCCAGGCGACAGGTCCCTTGTCTTTGGCCAAATCCTCTGATTCTGGTCAAGTCGCCTGACCTACACAATACCGACCTATTTTTCCCAAGGCCCTTGGGAACAGCAGGGAGGCCCGTTCAGACCATGACCCACCTCCTACCATGCTTGGAAGGAAGGAAGGCTGAGAGGGAAGCCTGAGCTTATGGGATATGGTGTGATGGGTGGGGGGACTGGGTATGAGACTAGGGTCCCCCAAGAACACTCAGGGAGCCATGAACAGCTCACTTCTCTGGGACTGTTTTCTGCTCATCTGGAAAATGAGGGGCTTGAAATACATACTCTCCAAAATCCCTCCCAGCCCTGACATCCCCTGTTCTGAGGCCCCTCCCAGCCCTGACATCCCCTGTTCTGAGCTCCCTCCCAGCCCTGACATCCCCTGTTCTGAGGCCCCTCCCAGCCCTGACATCCCCTGTTCTAAGGCCCCTCCCAGCCCTGACATCCCGTTCTTGGATGCTGAGGCAAACAGATCCAAGAAAGGGTGGTTTAGCAGGGGTGGGGGGCTATTGGTAAGGAATGAGGAATACTCAGTTTGGCACGGCCAGTGCATTGCCTAATTGCTTGACTGTGTTGACTGTTAGAAGTGAGGCTTCAGTTTCCGGACAGGGGCTGCTCTGGGAGGCTGGTGTCATTCAGAGCATCTAAAGGTGTCCAAGGGGACAAGAGGCCGCTGGCTGCCCTTTCCCCTGGACTCAGGAGGGGCATTTGGTTTCAGGCTGGTAAAAGAGCTGGTACGACTGGTTTAGAGTTGGAGGAATCTTACCCTTTTGATCCATTTGATTACTTGTCCCTGTCAAGGTTAGATCACACTAAAGGGAACTTTTTATAAGCCCCCACAAAAGAGGCAGGCCCGGCTCCTGAGCCAGGGGTGGGTTCTTGGAGGGCTGGGTGGGGGTGGGGTGTGGTTCTAGGAGGCCCAGGCTGGCTGGGCCTTGTGCTCAATACCTGACGTTGAAGGCAATAAGAAAAGGGCCCAGGCTCTCCCTCGCCATGTGATGACTCAGAGCCAGAGTCCTGGAATGGAAGGGTCTGGGTGGGAGTCCTGGACCCCCAATAACCTGCCTTCTTTCTGTTCTCTAAGATCCAGCAGCCTGGCCCCACCCAGCAGCCAGTGTTTGCAAAGGGGAGGACCACCTCCCCTCCCAGTGCCAGAACCAGTCCAACAGGTCCCAGTCCCAAAAAGGGCCCAGGTCACAACTCTACAAAAACCCCAAGTCACTGGGGGGGGGTGTTTGATAACCCTGGGCCTACTTACTGCTAAGCCGAATAGCTACCCACTGGCGTTCCAGTCTTTGAGAGAGCCGCAGGAAGGAGGGCACTGACCAAGAGAGCCTAGGACCCCAGAGGCCCCTCAACTCTTTCATTGGACAAAAGGGGAAACTGAGGCTCAAGGAGATGAAGTGACTTGCTCAAGAATCTTACATTCAGAGCGGGAAGGGAACTCAGAGGATATCTAATCCAACATCCTCATTTACAAATGAGAAAACAGGCCCAGGAAGGCTACCCAAGATGGAGAAAGCTAAATGAAAATCTGCCTGAGGTCCACTCCTGCCAGGACCCCCATCCCCAAAGCTTGCCCTCCACCCCATGGGCTGGAGTAGAGAACATCCTTCTCACCCTTCAGGGTCCAGCCAATGCCACCTCCTCCGCTAAGGCCTCCCTAGTTTCCCCAGTGCCCCCATCTTCCTCCTTCCCTCCCGCCTGTTTCATACAGGGAGAGGGCTTGGTGCGGTAGAAAGAGCAACAGATTCTTGGAAAGGACCTGGAATCGAATCCTGATTTCCCATCTCAGGCCCACAGTTGCCTTCCATGTGAAATGAGAGCATTGTACTGGATGACCTCAGAGGTCCCTTCCAGCTGCAGACCTCTCATCCTATGTATTATTAGTTCTTGTTATTATCTTCTATGTCTCCAGAATTTTCAAATTTACCTTTGTATACAAGCACTGCCCTCACAGCTGTCAGGCCCATTTTACAGAGGGCAAAACTGAGACCCAGAGAGGAGAAACAACTTGCTCAGGATCACAAAGGTCATAGTAAGTGGTAGAGCCCAGACCAAACTCAGCCCACTTCAAAGCTCGAGGTCCCAAGACCAGGAACTATGGAGATCTTTGAATCCCCCACGAGGGGATGGATCAATATGTCAGTCGACGAGCAGTTATTGAGTGCTTACAAAAGGCCAGGCTAGAGGGATGGGGACAGAGACAAAAACGGACGTCACTGCCCTCTGGGAGCTACTGAGAGATGAAATATGACCTCACCTTCCAAAGCTGGCACCGGGGCACCCCGCTTTCCTCTGGGGGAGGGACTGGAGATGGGGATGTGGGAGGGGTGAAGGAGGGATAGAGAGAGGGATGGGAGAGAGCTTTGAGGGGAGCCCAGGGAGAGAGCTGGGGGATGGAGGGGGTGCCTGAAGGCTGGTTAGAAGGTTTTAGGGGGGTTGACAGGGAGCTGGGGTGGGGAGGTTAGCAAGGAGCTGACCAGACTGGGGCAGGGGCGGGAGCTGCACTGTGGAGCTGGGGGGCGCCCTGGGAGGACCCCGCAGGCTCCGATCTTGGATGTCCACGGGAAGCCCAAGCATCCCCTTTCCCAGGAAGGCTGGGAGGCTCTGGCCTTGCCCTCGCCCCTGGCCCTGGTCCAGGCTCTCTTACCCGCTCGCCATGCTGGCAGGAAGGGAAGCCGGGTTGAACCCAAATGAGCCTCACGGTAGGAGCGGGTTACCTGAGGCCTCTTGGATGGGGGCGTCCAGGAGGGAGCTGGGCCTCCCGCCCCCCGGGAGGTCCAATCAGAAGCAACTGAACGAGAGCAAACGCCAATCCCTTTGTGCCCCGTATGCCTGGCCTCTCTCCCCGCCCCTCGTCAGGTAAGGAGGGGAGGGGAACGCCCAGCCAGCTGTGGCTGCAGCGTCGGGGTTCCCCAGCCTGGCGCCCCCGGGTACGAAATCTCCAGAAAGAGAAGAGAGGGACTTCGGCTGCCCTTCACCTGGCCGGGTGGAGATCCCGCTCCGGCCCGCAATGGGGGCACCTGGGAAGGTGGCAGAGGTTGGAGTCAAGGGGCCCTTCCCGGGTCCGCTCCCCTCGCACGTCGAGGCTGGGGAGCAGCCCGGGCCCCAAGGCCGCTGTGAAGAGAGATCAAAAGGGCACCAGGCCGTTGCTCTGGCGGTGCCCTCTGCAGAACCATAGAGGGAATTCGCCTACTTTCCCACCTTGGGAATTGGGCGGTGCGCATTGTGGCTAGGACGAGTTGGGCAGGGACTTAAGGACGCAGGCCGCGGGCCGAGGAGAAGGGATAGGCACCAGGCTCTGTAGACTCAAGGACGCCCTTCCCCTCCCCCTCCATCCCCTCGTCTTCGTTTCCTCGCTTGTCGTGCTCTGCTAGGCTGCCTTAATCCCCGCTCCATCTCTATTTATTACTATCATTAGCCACTACTACTAACAGAGGCACCACCGCTCTGAATCGTCATTAGAGCTGGCATTTATAGAGATCGCCCTTTTCATCCATTACCCCATTTGGCGCCCAAGAAACTCCATTGAGGCAGAGCCATCGGCCCGACCTCCCA